GGCTCCCGCCTGAGACCTCCTTACAATTTAGCCAGGACCCCCGCTCCCGCCCGAGACTTCCTCGCATTTTACTCAGGAATCGCGCTCTCGCTTGGGACTTCCTTATAATTTATTCAGGAATCGTTCTCCCGGCGCTCTGGAGTCGCGCTCTCGCTGGAGACTTGCTTGCAACTTACTGAAGAATGGCCTTGTGTTGGAATTTCTTGCAATTTGCTCAAGCGCCGCGCTCCCGACACCCAGGCACCCAGGAGTCGCGCCCGTTGTGGCCCCATGTGCATGCCCTTCGTGGCCCCGCTGTCGCCATTTGTGTCCCCCTCACTGTCCTACGTGGCCCAGTTGCTACCCTCAGTGGCCCCATAGTTGCCTTCTGTGGCCCCGCATTATCTGCACTTCGTGGCCCCCGCTCGTTCGCGCTCTTCGTGGCCCCATACGCATTCCCTTCGTGTCCCCGCTGTCGCCCTTCGTAGCCTACTTCGTGCCCTTCGTGGCCCTGCTGTCGTTCTCTCTCGCTCTCGCTTTCGCTCGTCGTCGCGTCGTTCGCCGTCGGTCGTCGCCGCCGTCGTCGTCGTCGTCGTCGTGGTCGGTCCCCTGTCCGTCCCTCTTGGGGTCGGGTCGACGGTCCGCGGCCGCCCCGCCGATCAGCGCTGCCGCTGGCCAGGCCGACGGTCCGCGGCCGCCCCGCCGCTTGCCGGGGCCCAGCCTGCAGTGAAGAAAGGTATACCCCCCAAAAGGGGTTCGATCGAAGACGAAGAGGGCGGGTATCGAGGGTTTGGGAAATACGCGTTATTAGACCCTCGAGCATATAAGGGCGAACAGTCTTAAACTTATTATTGTTGTTGTTGTGGTTGTGGTTGTGCTTGTGGTTGTGGTTATTGTTGTTATTAGTGTTGTTGGTGTTGTTGTTGTTGTTGTTGTTGTTGTTGTTGTTGTTGTTGTTGTTGTTGTTGTTGTTAGTCTTGTTTGTGTTATTGTTGTTGTTGGTGTTGTTGTTGATGGTGATGCTGTTGTTGATGTTGTTGCTGTTGCTGTTATTGTTTTGGTTGTTGTTGTTTTGTTGTGTTTGTGTTGTTGTTGTTGTTGCTGTTGTTATTGTTGTTGTTGTTGGTGTTGTTGTTGTTGTTGTTGTTGTTGTTGTTGTTGTTGTTGTTGTTGTTGTTGTTGTTGTTGCTGTTCTTCTTGTTGTTGTTGTTGAATACTCATTTCTAAATTATAATTATTGCTGATTTCCGGAAGCGGTTCCGCGCGCTCTCGCTTCGACGCCGGCTACATTTTCTCTGAAAACGAAGCTCCCGCTCGAGCGTTGGCTTGACCCGAAATGTGCGCCCTTGGAGGCCCAACTGCGACAGCAGCGGCTCCCGCTCGATACTTCCTTATAATTTGCCCCGAGACACCCTGGCCAGAGAGGCCCCCGAACTGAGGAACGGCGCTCTCGCTCGAGACTTCCTCGCAATTCAATTAAGTTGGCGGAAGCCTGGCCACGACGACAAGGGCTCCTGCTCGATATTTCCTCACGATTTACTCCGAGAGCCCGTGGCCAAGAAGGCCCCCGAACTCAGGAACGGCGCTCTCGCTCGAGACTTCCTCGCGATTCATGCAGGACCCACGCTTCAGCAACCCGCCTGCTCGACCTCGTCGCCTGGGCCCGCCTTCCCCCCGACCTGCCCGCTATGGGTCTGCCTACCCGATCTGCCCGTCTGGTTCTACCACTTGTTTTTTGCTCCTTGCCCCCCCCTGCTCATTTCTGTCGTGCTCTATTATTCTGCCTCCTCCTTCCACCCGTCCTCTCTTCCTTTGTTTTAGGGGCTGCACTAATACGTGTGGCAGGTAAGGCAGATCTACCCCCAAGGGGCACGATCGAAGACGACCAGGGCGGGTACCGAGGGCTTGGGATATACGTATTGATTGGCACGTGAGCAGGTATGAGCGAACAGTCTTAAACTGATTGTTGTTGTTGTTGGTGTTGTTGTTGTTCTTGTTCGTGCTCTTGTTGAATGTTAATTACTAAACAATAATTATTGTTGGACCCCCCAATCAGGCGCCCTGGCGCTCTCGCCGCGGCGCCAGCTACATTTCATTGAAAATGAAGCTCACGCTCGAGCGGTTTTTGGGGGGGCGCCCAAACCGGCCCCCCAACAACAACAACAACAACAACAACAACAACAATCACTTTACCCGAACGCTCAGTGTTCTCACCAGTGCCAGGGTTTTCATGCGACGCCAGCCAATACCCCCACTTTGTGGGGGGGCAGTGCAAGCTCTACCAAATATCCACACGACTCTTCGCCACCACCCACACCCAGCTTCCCGCCCTATGACGTTCGGACACTTCACTTCGTGGCCTGCGGACGACCGTGGCTACTACACTGGCGTGGAGTACACACCCACAGAAGTTGTTAAGCCTACGTTCGTACACCCACAGAAGTTGTTAAGCCTTGTTAACCCACAGAAGTTGTTAAGCCTTCCACAGAACATCTGTTGCATATGATGCATATGGTACATGATACACATGATACACATGATACGTACTCACAAGATAGTTGATCACATCTTTAGGGCAAATTCCTGAGGGATGTGGGAATACACAAGAGAGAGAGGATATGGTTGTCCCGATGGTTGTCTCGATGGTTGTCCCGATGGTTGTCCTGATGGTTGTGGTTGTCCCGATCGTTGTCCCGATGATTGTCCCGATGGTTGTCCTGATGGTTGTGCTTGTCCCGATCGTTGTCCCGATGACTGTCCCGATGATTGTCCCGATGGTTGTCCCGATGGTTGTTCCGATGGTTGTCCCGATGGTTGGCCGCATGGTATTATTTGACAGGGATGATGGCCCTGGCAGGTGCGCAACCGTTGTCGCAGAAGTTCGAAAAAGTTGCTCGCAAAAGCCCGTTTGACAGAAATGTTTAAAAAGTGTTGGGTTTCCTACGAATCCGCAAGAGCGCGCGGGATGAGATTTTGACATTTTTTTGTTGAAAAACCATTGGTTTTTTGATGTTTTTATGTTAAAATCGCTCCGAACACTAAGCTTTTGGAAGGATTTCGTCTTGCGCGCGCGAATGTCCACTTTACCTTATTTTTTGCAAGGGATTCTTGAAATTTGATTATATTAGAACAAGAAATGTCATTTTATAGTGTTTTTTGCAAGGGAAAGCGGGGGGGAACAAAACAACCGGATCTTGATCACATCGAATTACCTGAGGCTTCCTCACGAAAGTGATGAAAATGTAGCTGCGGCCTAGGCGGCGCAGGGGGGCCGTGCACCAGGGGTCCCAACAATAATTATTTTTTAGAATTAATAATGTTCAACAACAACAACAACCACGACGACGACGACGACGACGACGACGACGACGACGACGACGACGACGACGACGACAACAACAACAACGCTCGAGACTTTTTTTTTGCCCAGAGCCGGTACTCTTGCTCGCCGCCGAAAACCGCCGCCCCAACAAAACCAACGCTCCCGCTCGAGATTTCTTCCCGTTTTACCTTGGACTGGCGCGATACTCTTTCTCTCATCGGCGCCGCCCCCAGCGAGAACAACGCTCCCGCTCGAGACTTCCTCCTTTTTTACAAAGAACCGGTGCTTTTGCTCGCCGCCGAAAACCGCCGTCCCAACAAAACCAGCGCTCCCGCCCGAGACTTCCTCCCGTTTTACGCTGGACTGGCGCCCAACTCTCTTTTGAATTGGCGCCGCCCCCAGCAAGAAGAACGCTCCCGCTCGAGGCTTCCTCCCTTTTTCCTGAAGACGGTGCTGTTCCTCGCCGCCGACAGCCTCCATCCCGACAAAACCGCGGCTCCCGCTTGAGACTTCTTCCCTTATCGCTCAAGGCGGTGTTCCTCCTCGCCGCCGGCAACCGCCGTCCCAACAGAACCAGCGCTCCCGCTCGAGACTTCGTGTTCTTTCACGCTGGTCTAGCGCCCTACTCTTCTGCATTGGCGCCGCTCCCAGCAACAACAGCACCCCTGCTCGAGACTTCCTCCCTTTCTATTCAGGGCCAGGTCCTTGCCTCGCCGCCGACAGCCCCCATCGCCAACAAGCCAATCCTATCGCTCGATACTTCCTTGTGCTTTACCCTTGGCTGGGGTTCCACTGGCGGTCTCGCATCGGCGCAGCAGGCTGCGGGCATGTGTTTTCGAGGCGGGACGTGTTGAAATTCCTCGGAGGAGGTGTTTGCAAGACCTCATTGGGCGGGAGATCTGGGAATGGGAGTAACGACCCCCCGTGATATAATAATAATCCCACATGATGGGGATGGTTATCATGATGGTCGCATGCTGCGTGTGGAAGCATCTCGCATGAGGGTATACTGATTGTTGTTGTTTTTGGGGAGGTTGTTGGTGTTGTTGTTGCTGTTGCTGTTGCTGTTGCTGTTGTTGTTGTTGTTGTTGAATATTATTACTTCTAAAGAATAATTATTGTTGGGCCCCCTGGTGCACGCCCCCCCCGCCGCGCCTAGGCCGCAGCCACATTTTCATCATTTTCGTGAGGAAGTCTCAGGCAAAACGGGTTGGTCCAGATCCGGTTGTTTTGTTGTCCCCCGCTTTCCCTTGCAAAAAACACTATAAAATGAAATTTCTTGTTCTAACATATCCAAACTTCAAGAATCCCTTGCAAAAAATAAGGTAAAGTGGACATTCGCGCGCGCAAGACGAAATCCTTCCAAAACCTTAGTTTTCGTAGCGATTTTAACATAAAAACATCAAAAAACCAATGGTTTTTCAAAAAAAAATGTCAAAATTTCATCCCGCGCGCTCTTGCGGATTCGTAGGAAATCCAACACTTTTTAAACATTTCTGTCAAACGGGCTTTTGCTAGCAACTTTTTCGAACTTCTGCAACAACGGTTGCGCACCTGCCAGGGCCATCATCCCTGTCAAATAATACCATGCGGGACACATTCGTTTTTTCTTCGCGCGCGCACGCCGTCGTCGTCGGCCGCGGGGCCCTGAATAGTAGCCACGGTCGTCCGCATGCCACGAAGTGAAGTGTCCGAACGTCATAGGGCGGGAAGCTGGGTGTGGGTGGTGGCGAAGAGTCGTTTGGAAATTTGGTAGAGCTTGAACCGGCCCCCCCACAAAGTGGGGGTATTGCCCGCCTCCTATGAAAACCCTGGCACTGGTGAGAACGGAGTGTCCCCACGTGCTAGTAATTGTTGTTGTTGTTGTTGTTGAACATTATTAATTCTAAAGAATAATTATTGTTGGGACCCCTGGTGCACGGCCCCCCTGCGCCGCCTAGGCCGCAGCTACATTTTCATCATTTTCGTGAGGAAGCCTCAGGTAATTCGATGTGATCAAGATCCGGTTGTTTTGTTCCCCCCCGCTTTCCCTTGCAAAAAACACTATAAAATGACATTTCTTGTTCTAATATAATCAAATTTCAAGAATCCCTTGCAAAAAATAAGGTAAAGTGGACATTCGCGCGCGCAAGACGAAATCCTTCCAAAAGCTTAGTGTTCGGAGCGATTTTAACATAAAAACATCAAAAAACCAATGGTTTTTCAACAAAAAAATGTCAAAATCTCATCCCGCGCGCTCTTGCGGATTCGTAGGAAACCCAACACTTTTTAAACATTTCTGTCAAACGGGCTTTTGCGAGCAACTTTTTCGAACTTCTGCGACAACGGTTGCGCACCTGCCAGGGCCATCATCCCTGTCAAATAATACCATGCGGGACACATTCGTTTTTTCTTCGCGCGCGCACGCCGAAATCTCCAAAAACCATTGGGTTCTTAAGAATTTTAGCACCGCGCATCATAAAATCACACGAATCGCACCGTAGGTCCTCGAAAAACACCTGCACGACTTTTCAAAATTTCACCCGCGCGCGCTGTCCTAACAACTTCTGTGGGTGTGTACTCCACGCCAGTGTAGTAGCCACGGTCGTCCGCAGGCCACGAAGTGAAGTGTCCGAACGTCATAGGGCGGGAAGCTGGGTGTGGGTGGTGGCGAAGAGTCGTGTGGATATTTGGTAGAGCTTGCACTGCCCCCCCACAAAGTGGGGGTATTGGCTGGCGTCGCATGAAAACCCTGGCACTGGTGAGAACACTGAGCGTTCGGGTAAAGTGATTGTTGTTGTTGTTGTTGTTGTTGTTGTTGTTGTTGTTGTTGTTGTTGTTATTGTTGTTGTTTTTGTCGGTGTGGTTGTGGCTGTGTTTGTGGTTGTTGTTGCTGTTGTTGTCGTTTTTTCCGTTGTTGTTGTCGTCGTCGATGTTGTTGTTGATGAACTCTCACGACTCAAGAATCAGTATTGTTAACCACAGTTTAGCCAGGATCCCCGCTCCCGCCTGAGACTTCCTCGCATTTTACTCAGGAATTGCGCTCTCGCTTGGGACTTCTTTTCAATTGATTCAGGGATCGCTTTCTCGGCGTTCTGGAGTCGCGCTCTCGCTGGAGACTTGCTTACAATTTGCTCAAGAACCGCGATAATGCGTTGGAGTTTCCCGCAATTTACTCAAGCGCCGCACTCCCGATACTCAGACACCACGGAATCGCGCTCAAGCTTAGGACCCCCTCGCAGCTTACTTTGGAATCGGGATCTCGCTACCCTTCGTGTCCCCGTTGCAGCCCTTCGTGGCCCCCTCGCTGCCCTTCGTGGACCCGTTGCAGCCCTTCGTGGCCCCCTCCTTTCCCTTCGAGGCCCCGTTGTAGCCCTTCGTGGCTTCCTCGCTGCCCTTCGCGCCCGTCGTGGCCCCATATGCATGCGTTTCGTGGCCCCGCTGTCGCCCTTCGTGGCCTCCTCGCTGCCCTTCGTGGCCCCGTTGCTGCACTCAGTGACCCCGTCCTTGCCTTCTGCGGCCCAAAATACGTCTGCCCTTCGTGGCCCCCCGCTCGTTCGCGCCCGTCGTGGCCCCATATGCATGCGTTTCGTGGCCCTGCTGTCGCCCTTTGTGGCCCCCTCGCCGTCCTACGTGGCCTCGTTGCTACCTTCAGTGGCCCCGTCGTTGCCCTCTGTGGCCCCGCCTTATCTGCCCTTCGTGGCCCCCGCTCGTTCGCGCCCATCGTGGCCCCATACGCATGCCCTTCGTGGCCTCGCTGTCGGAGGATCGCGACGCATCGCCGATTCATCGGCGATGCGGCGCGATGCGGCGATCGATTTTCTCCACGTTGACGTCGCCGATGCATCGTCGATGCATCCGCAATGCATCGGCAATGCGGCGCGATCCTCGGACCCCATCTGTACTCGGGCCTCATCTGGGAGGCCTCCAGGAGTTGGGGGCCCATACCGCCCCCCCTGGCAGGGCCCATGCCAGCTCGATCGAGTTATCCGATTCGATCTCGGCCTCTGTCGTTACCTCGTCTCCCAGACATGCGATGTCCTGATTTTCCCAATGCGCGGTCCCCGGAAGTCCCGACTCTTTACCCGGGACCAGTTTTTCATCCTGAGTCGTTTTTTGACGGCCCCGAGGCCCGGCGAGGGGCCTTGGTGCGCCGAAAAGGGCAAAAGCAAATCCCGTCGTGCTTGTCTTGTTTGTTCGACGCGATATCGTGTCTGGGCTGGGAAGCCTCGTGTCGGAGGCCTCTGTCTGAGGTCTCCACTACCCGTAAGAGTGACCTTCCGCAGGAGTGACCTTTGGTGCGGGCCCAAGGGGGCCCCCACATCGCCGAACGCGATGCGGTATTAGCGTCTTGCGCGCTCGTATGTTTGGCCCCCCCGCGGCCCCCAATGAAACGCGCACCAAAGGTCACTCTTACTGGCGTTGCCGCACTCAAGCAATGGTGGCGTTTATCCGATTTGCTGATGCACCGTACGTCGAAGCCCAGCAAATCGGCGCTAAAGCGTCCGAAAAGGCTCGCCGGGATGCGAAGGCGGGAGTCTCTGCGACTTGCTTTGCTGTCAAAACTCTACGCAACGACACTGCCCGGCGCTGTCTCTTGCGTTTAGCCTTAAGTTTGGCCTGTCCCTCTACAGGAGGAAAATCCAAAAACAGTCACAACATCTGGGGACGATTTTCCGATGATTGTTTGACTATGCTGGGGCCTGTTTGATTTATTGCTTGTTTTATGTTTCGCCCAAAAATCCGCCTTTAGTCGGAGGGAGGAGAAGCGATACCAACACCACCAGGGGGCCCACCGCCAGCGAGGAGGTGCACGATGCCTCTCCGAGCTGGAGGCTGGGGATGTCTCGAGCGAGAGGGGGGGACCACACCACCAAGGAGTTCCCCCTTTGCCTCCTCGCATCTCCTCGCCCTGTTGGTGTCGGTGTCGCCTTTCCTTGTTCCTATTTAGGGGGACAGGCCCGACCGAAGTGTGGCCGAAGGTCAGCCGGGCGGCTCGTCGTGCTCCTGCTGCTCGCCGCGTTCGCCGCGGGCGACCTGCTGGGGCTCTGGTTCGCGGGCGCCGTGGCGCTGCGGGTGGTGCGGCACGCGGCCAGCCGCAGGTTCACCATCCTCCTCCTCCTCCTCCTCCTCATCATCATCACCATCATCATTCTGATCATCATCATCGTCATCATCATAATCATCATCATCCGCATCATCATCGTCACCATCGTCATCACCATCCTCCTCCTCCTCATCACCATCATCACCATCATCACCATCATCACCATCATCACCATCATCACCATCATCACCATCATCATCATCATCATCATCATCATCATCATCATCACTGTCATCATCCTCATCGTCATCATCATCATCATCATCATCAGCATCAGCAGCATCAGCATCAGCATCAGCATCAGAATTGGCATCAGCATCAGCATCAGCATCAGCAGCATCAGCATCAGCAGTAGCCGTATCAGCATCAACATCAGCATCAGCATCAGCATTTGCATCGTCATCAGTTCTTCCACCACCATCGTGTCACCGACAAGGTTTTCTGGACCACCGGCGACTTGGTGAGTAGACCATGCCCAATGCAGAGGTCGCAAGCATCGAGGTACGATTCTCGCACTCTGATGTGTCATTCTTTTCTTTCGGCCCTGAAGCACGATTTCGGTTAATGGTTTATTTCTGTCTGTCTGTCTGCCCATCACCGTCATCATCATCATCATCATCATCATCATCATCATCATCAGCATCATCATCATCAGCATCAGCATCATTACTCATCATCATCATCATCATCATCATCATCATCAGCATCATCATCATCATCATCATCAGCACCAGCACCAGCACCAGCACCAGCATCAGCACCAGCATCAGCATCAACGTAATGGCCCGCCTTCCCATCCTTCCTTTGCTCTCTACAACGATTCGTCGCAGCTTTCTTCGATGCCCCTGTGTTCAAGATGCTGATTTGATGGCGAGCACAGCCATGGAAACTCACAACAATGAAAAACCCAGCTGTCCCGGCCGTCCCACAACTTCGTTTTTCTGCTGTGGAAGGCGATTCTGAACAATCGCAGCGTCTTGACCCAACTCCCTCAGAGCACAAGTGAGAACCACTGAGTACAAACACTGTTTTCAGAGCCGTTCACAATGTCAACATCACTTGCTCAAACACATCACTGTGATGAAAACTGGCACTATCAGTTTGCAAGTTCAATCGTCATGTTGTTGTTCATAGTTTCTTGGGGCGCGCAGTGAACATCACGCTCATCGTCGGCTGTACCATCAGTTGATACCTTCCACGTTCATTTGTTCGTTCGTGTTTCGTTGGCTCAGTCGGTGATCTCGGGATCAAGCCTTTGGCCGAGGAGTCTGCTCCGGACACGCGAGCCCACAACCCACTCCTTGTCTCACGAAGGTTGCCAGGGTGACCCCATGCTTCACACATTGTTGGTATGCCAGCTCTCTGGATCTCTGCGCACTGCTCATTCACCAACCCCTCCTCTCGTCCATCCACTCGCTTGCTCAGTGGTTCGATGTGGCGGAGAGCCCAGCGGGGAAGCGAGAGGGGGCAGGCCTTCTCGGAACGCGGCGGGGCTTCTCAGCAGCCCTCGCGCCTTCTGAGAAGCTGCCTCTGGCCTCGGAGACGCGCCTTCCGAGAAGCCCCGCCGCCTGCCGAGAGGCCCCCTGCCGCCTTCCGAGCCCGCCCCTCTCTCACTTCCCCCCCGGGGCTCGCCGCCGCGCGATCCTCCAGCCGCTCGCCGCGAGGATCGCCGGACCGACGAGGCCCCGCGCGAGGCGCCTGTGGGGTGTCCTGCAGGCGGCGGTGCGGCTCAACGCCGCGCGCGTGCTGGCGCCGGAGCGGTCCAGGTGGGCGCAGGTGCAGCTCGAGAGGGGCGTGCCGCTCGGCCGGGGCTCGAGCAGGAGCGAGCGATGGAGATTCAACTGGGAGGACCGAGGAAGAGCAATCGGCGTAAGCATCAACTTCGGAGGTCCGCGCGGACCTCGCGGATCAGCGCGCTGCACCCCCCCTCGCGGCGCCGCGAGTGGGGCGGATCCAGTGCGTCGAGATATCCGCGTGGTGAGCTGCGGGTTGCGCACAGACGGCCCCCCCCCCCCCCGGGTAGTTCCGGCTGGCCTCCGCAGGTCCCCCGAGTAGTCCCAGCTGGCCTCAACAGGCCCCCCGAGTAGTCCAGGGCGGTCTCAACACCCCAACCCCGGGGCGCGGCGCCGCCCGAGGCGGCGCCAGGGTGTTGAGACCGCCCTGGCCTGTATTCGGGGGGCCTGCTGAGGCCAGCCGGGACTGCCCGGGGGGCCGGCTGAGGCCAGCTGGGTCTACCTGGGGGGGGGCCTGCCTGGGCGCCACCCCCGAAGCCTTGCCATACTTACGCGCGAGGACCTGCGAAAGCTGACGCTCGTGCAGACCCGTGCCTTCCTCTGCAGGAGTCGGCCAGAGCGCGCAGGGACAGGACGCCCGCACTTGGGCAGCCTGTGCACCACCAGCGCGCCCGGTCAGAGTCACCCAGGGCCCCAGGCTTTCCTCCTGACGAGGAGGAGGAGGAGGAGGAGGAGGAGGAGGAGGAGGAGGAGGAGGAGGAGGAGGAGGAGGAGGAGGAGAAGAAGGAGGAGGATGGTGCACCTGCCTCCTGGCCTCGGGGGCGCACCCCGTCATTCCCTCGACCAGCACCCTCCGCACCTTCCGCGCGGCAGGTTCCGCGCCGCCGCGGCCGCATCGCGGCGGCACCTTCGGCGCGGAAGGCGCGGTGCAGGTCGAGGGTCAGCCGACTGTGTGTTCAGTCTGCTGCCTCGGAGTACACAAACATGAGCACGGCGAGTGGATCAGCGAGGGGTTCCGTCTCCATACAGAATCGGCGCGCTCCGCCACCAAATCGGGCGGCCTCTGGCGCCATTTCTCGGGGGTGCCTTCCCCGATCCATGGATCTGGCGACCGCACACCAGATCCACGTGTCCCCAGTCCATGTTGGTGTGCGCCCGACAGAGAGGCCCCGACCGCTTCCCGGGGCCTGAAGATGGCCCCCGAGGGCTGAAATCGAGAGAGCGTCGCCGGCTGACAAAAGTCATACGGTCGGAAATCTGGGCCCAAGGACGGCCACGGCACGGCCAGGCTGGTAAGGCTTCAGGTTGCGCGCAGACGGCCCTCCTCAGATAGTCCCAGCTGGCCTCCACAGGCCCCCCGAGTAGTCCCAGCTGGTCTCAACAGGCCCCCGAGTAGTAGTCTGGGGCGGTCTCACACCACCCGGGCGCGGGGACCGCCCTAGGGGAGCTGCCCGAGGTGGCGCCAGGGTGTCGAGACCGCCCCGGCCTATATTCGGGGCGCCTGCTGATGTCAGCTGGGGCTTCCCGGGGTGCCGGCTGAGGCCAGCCAGGATGGCTATCTGTGCGCAGCCCGAAGCCTCACCAGGCCAGGCACGGTGGTGGAGCACAGGTGCCCTCTCCCCCCGACCTGCACCTTCCGCACCTTACCGCGCAGCAGGTGCCGCCGCGATGCCGCGGCCCCGACGGTGGCCGCCGCTGCGGCCGCGGCGACGGCCGCGGCACCGGGGCACCTGCCGCGCGGGAAGGTGCGGACCCAGACATGCGATGTCCTGTTTTTTTCTATACGGGGTCCCTGGAAGTCCCAACCCCTTCCCCTGGACCAGTTTTCCACCCTGCGTCCTCCCTTGACGGTCCCGAGGCCCGGCGAGGGCCCGCCGAGGCCGAACACGGCCCAAAACCTCCCGTCCTAATTTTTCACATTATAAACATTAATATAAGGAAATTATCCCAGTGCGACCCTACCTAGGAGTTGGAGCATTTAGGAAAGCAACATCTACATCTACACTGACAGCTACATGTACATCTACACCTGCATCTACATCTACATCAACATCAACAGCGAGACTCACATCTACATCTACATCTACACCTACATCTACCTACATCTACATCTACATCTACATCTACATCTACATCTACATCTACATCTACATCTACATCTACATCTACATCTACATCTACATCTACATCTACACCTACATCCACATCTACACCTACACCTACATCTACATCTACATCTACATCTACATCTACACTTTCGCATTGGTTTCGCATTGGTTTTGCTTTTTGCTAAGCTGCAGGATGTTCAGCACTGCTCGCGGCTCCTGCAAGAACTGCAGGCTGTTCAGCACTGCAGGTCAGGCTTTGCGTTGCTTGTGCTTTGCTTTGCTGTTGCTGTTGTTGCTTTGCCTTTGCTTTGCTGCTATGCTATGCGATGCGATGCGATGCTATGCTGCGCTATGCTGTGCTACACTATGCTATGTTATGCTATGCTGCGCTATGCTGCGCTATGCTGCGCTATGCTATGCTATGCTGTGATATGCTAGGGTACGCTCGTCTGCGCTGTGTTATGCTATGCGATGTTATGATATGTTATGATGCGCTATGTTATGCTATGCTATGCTATGATATGCTGCGCTATGCTATGCTATATTATGCTATGCTGCGCTATGCTATGCTAGGCTAGGCTATGACATGATATGATATGATGCGCTATGCTATGATATGCTATGCGATGCTATGCTATGCTGCGCTATGACATGATATGATATGCTACGCTGTGCTATGCTATGCTATGCTGCGCTGTGCTATGCTAAGCAATGCTATGATATGCTATGATATGCTATGCTGCGCTATGCTATGCTATGCTATGCTATGCTGACATATGCTATGTTATGCGATGCTATGCTATGATATGCTTGGCTATGCTATGCTATGCAATGCTGTGCTAATGCTGCGCTGCGCTATGCTGCGCTGCGCTAGGCTATGCTAAGGCAAGCTAAGCTATGCCAAGCGAAGCTGAGCTACGCTAAACTAAGCGAAGCTAGGCTAGGCTAAGCTAAGCTAAGCTAAGCTTGTAAGCTAAGCTAAGCTAAGCTAATATGAGATAAGCTCAGCTAAGCTAAACTAAGCTAAACGAAGCTAAACTAAGCTAAACTAAGCTAAACTAGCTAAGCTAAGCTAGGCTAGGCAGAGCTAAGCGAAGCTAAGCTAAGCTAAGAGGAGATAAGCTAAGCTAAGCTAAGCTAAGCTGGGTGAACCCAGGGGGCGCAACTGGGTGAACCGCGGGGCGGATACTGGGGGAACCGCCCGGGGCGCTTTCCACTGCCCGGCCCCTTTAAGCCCGCAGAGCCTAGGTAGGGAAATAATGCAGAACATAGAAAATACATACAATAAAAGCTTTCGTGTCTGGGGAGGGTGCCGGGCCGAGGGCCTGCCGCAGGCAGGAGGAGGCCCTGTGGCACAGCCTGGACCTCGGGCGCGCCCTGCTCCGCGCCGCGGGGCCGCCCCTCGCCGCCGCGTCGCTGGGGCTGGTCGCCTTCGGGGTGCGCGCCTTCTTCGCGCTCGGGCTGCCGTGGTGGCGGCTGCCCCGCGCGCTCGACGGGGCGATGAGGCCCCCCGAGGGGGCGGGCCAGCCAGGATCGCGCCGCAACAGAAAAAATCCGGGCGGGAGGCTCTGGGCCGTCTTCGGCCTCCAGGGGCCCTCGCCGGGCCGCGGGACCGTCCAAAAAAGCGGACGCAGGGCGAAAAACCTGTCCAGGGGAAGGGGTCGGGACTTCCAGGGACGCCGCATGGAACAAATCAGGACGTCGCATGTCTGCAGGGCGGCAGCGAGGAGGGCCCCCTGAGTTTTTTCGTCGCTCTCGGCCTCTGGAGGCCCTCGCTGGGCCCTAGGGCCGTCAAGCGACAACTCAGGGCGCAGAGCCTTTAGCCGGCCATGGGGACAGTATGGGAAGTTCCCAGACATGCGACGTCTTGATTTTTTGAATGCCGCGTCCCTGACAGTCCCGACCCTTTTTCCCTCATCCGAAGTCGTTTTTGACGCTCCCGAGGCCCGGTAAGGACCCCCAGAGGCCGAAAACGGCCAAGACGCGCGCCATGATTTTTCAACGACGCGATCATGTCTGGGTTCTGGGAACCCTGTATTGAGAGAAACAGTGCATCGGCTCTCCGGGTACGTGCTGATTCTGCTGCTCCGTCTTGGAGAGCCCTCGCCATGGTTGGATCCTCGAGATTCTTGCCAGACGGCGCCCCAGGAGTGGTCTGGGGAGTGGCGGTATCTCTAGGGCTCCTCCCAGATGGGGCCCGAGTAGATGGAGTCAGTGGATAGTGCCGCATCGCCGATGCATCGGCAAAGCGGCTCGCAGTGGAGCCCGATTTTCCCCACGCCGACGTCACCGATGTGTCGCCGACGTCGCCGATTCATCGCCAATGCATCGGCGATGCGTCGCGATCCTCCCACCCCATCTGCTAGAATCCCATGTGGGAGGCCTCCAGAATCCAGGGGGGCCATACCCCCCCCGGCAGGGCTCATCCCGATTCGATCGATCCTGTTCGATCTTGACTTCGCCAGGCTCGACCCAGTTCGGTCTCGGGTTTCCAGCGGTCCGGTGCGGCCTGGCCCCGGTGCTCGCAATGCGCAGCAGTGCATCTTGGCGCACCCGCTGCGGCTCGATCCCGGCTCCGCGCCGATGCGGCGCCCGTTCCGAACCCCATCCGGCCTCTCGATCCGATGCTGACCGCTCGTGCCCTGGGAGGAACCCAGACATGATCGCGTCGTAAAACAGGAGGGACGGGGGGTTTTGGCCGTTTTCGGCCACGGGGGGCCCTCGCCGGGCCTCGGGACAGTCGAAAAACGAATCAGGACGAAAAACCGGTCCTGGGGAAAGGGTCGGGACTTCCAGGGACGTCGTATAGAGAAAATCAGGACGTCGCATGCTTGGGGGCGTCTCAATTTTTTCGAGCCGAGCATTTTCAATTTTTCTCGAGCCCCGAGACCCTCACAGCTCGATCCAGCTCGAAAAATGGCGGCGCAGAAAGATGGGGTCTATGGCTCTGGGCGTGATTTTTGCGATGTTGCCATGTTTTCGCTACGTCGGATCTCAGGGGAAGGCGCGGGGGGGGCCTGGTGGGGGTTGTGGATAGCAGGAGGTCCTCCCGAGATCTCCGACAATGCGTTTTCTTCCCAGACGAGTTGTTTTTTCCATAGCCTTGAGATTCTTGGAGGGCAGGAAAACACCTGGGCCAGGCTGCGAATAATCGCGTCGTAAAAAATGCCCCTGGGAGCCATCGCCGAGTCTCGGGGCCGCCGAGAAACGACTCGGGATGAAAAGCCCGTCCCGAGGAGAAAGGGTCGGGACTTCCAGGGACCTCGCTTAGAACAAATCAAGACGTTGCATGTCTGGGGCCGCAAGTTTTTCCCGCGCCGCGTCGGCACCCCCAGACCCCCTGATTTCAATACGGTGGGTTTTTGGCCGTTTTCGGCCTCGGGGGGCCCTCGCCAGGACTCGGGGCTGTCAAACAACGACTCGAGGACGAAACACCGGTCCCGAGGGGAACGGCCCGGACTTTCAGGGACCCCGTATTGAAAAAATCAAGACGTCGCGCATGCTTGGGTTCGCAGCGAGAGGAGGGCCCCCCCCCGCTCTCGAGGCTTCTCGGCGCCGTCGCCACGCTGCGCATCCTCGCCGACTTCGCGCGCGCCTCCCTGATGGACCTCAGCACCGTCTAACCTACTCCTGGATGGGACAGTGATCGCACCCCCCCCCCTTGCATCCGCTGCGGGGGTTGGGCACGTGCTGTCGGCACGGGTGGAGGGAGGGTTGGAGGAAGGGGAGGAGGAGGTTGAGGAGGGGGGGGAAGCATGGACGGGGGCGCGGTTGGGCAAGCCCAGTCGGAAGGTTGCTCGCCCCCCCCTTGATAACTACCCCATCCAGAGCATCCCCATCCCCGGCCCATCCCCACTGGGCCACGGCCCCGCAGCATCTCCAGCCCACCCTCCCAGGCGGGGCTAGGCCTCGCGAGGCCCAGGAGAACAGCCAGTCCACCTCCAGTTTTATGGTGTTCCAACCAGAAAGAATTCCGAGCACCGAGAAACCACCGAAACTGGAGGGTTTTCACGTGTCGGACCCTAGGAGACACTCGTTCGACACTGTTTCGACACGTTTTCGATACTTTTCCGGGTGCTCGAAATCATTTCTGGGATGTGGTCCTAAGTACGATGGGAGCAACATAGCTCCAGCCGAGCATCGGATTACAAGACCCCCCCCGCCCGAAAGGCTGGGCCAGCGCTTCGGAACCAGGTTGCCAGACAGCTGGCCCATCTCCTCGAGCGCGTGCGCCCCTCCAGCGTTTTGCAGCAGAACCTGGCCCAGGCCTGCTGTAAGAGACTTTCGGGAAACAGGCCCAGTTCTTTCTCAGATGGTCCTTTTCTTGATCATATTGCGAAGGCCTACGGCCAGTGCCGCCGACCCTGAATGGCGACGACGACGACGATATTTTGCTTGATCGTATTTACGGCGGTGGGGAAGTCGGCCAGCCCAGACCCACGACGTCGTGATTTTGTTCGCAACGCCGACCCTCCGAGCTCTGGACCTCCTCCTCCTCCTCCTCCTCCTCCTCCTCCTCCTCCTCCTCCCTCCTCCTCCGCCTCCTCCTCCTCCTCCGCCTCCTCCTCCTCCTCCTCCTCTTGATCTGCTTAGCCAGCGCAGCATTTCACCCGCCATTTTGCGTCGCTGCTTGAGACTGTGTGTCTGCCCACGCGCCTGACGGCGTATGGCTCGGGAGTGAGTGACCCCTCAAAGGTTTTGACCCCTTCCCCTGGACTGGTTTTGCATCCCGAGTCGTTTTTTGACGGTCCCGAGGCCTGGGAAGGGCCCCCGGAGGCCAAAGACAGCGAAGAACCTCCCTTCGGGATTTTTTCACGACGCGAGGGGCTCTGGGGGTCAAGGCCACGCCAGTGGGGATCGGGATCGGCTCCACGATGCTCATAGGACCCTCCGCGAAACCTAACGCAAGTTTTCCCGCCCCCCCCGCGCCCCCAATTCCAATGTTCAGCTGCGCGCGCGGCGCGGTCCGCGGACGCCGACAGACAAAATCAAGTCGCGTGCTTCGGCATCAACCTTGAAATTTGGGGGTCTGGGGGTGCCGACGCGGCACGGGAAACACTTGCGGTCCCAGACAAGCGACGTCTTGATTCTTTCAATGCGGGGTCCCTGGAAGTCCCGACCCTTTCTTTCCCGGGACCGGCTTTTTCATCCCGAGCCGTTTTTCGACGGCCCCGAGGCTCGGCGATGGCTCCCAGGGACACTTTTTACGACGCGGTCATATCTGGGACCCTCACCTCCTCTCGGGGGCGGCCAAGAGGGGGGCGTCCAAGAGGGGGGGGCGCAAATCATGGCCGGCGGCATGTGCGCGGCCCAGGGGAGGGGCCAGGGACGAAATGAGCAGAGGCGCCGCCATGAAATCTTTGGGAATATCACGGCTCCCGCCATGATATCCCCCCCCTAGTCCTCACCCCCCTCTTTAGGGGAACGAGGAATGATATAAACATAATAACTTGGAGGTCCGCGCGGACTTCTCGGATCCGCGCTGGAGCCCCCTGGCGGCGCCGCCCCTGGCGCGCTCCGTGCGCCAGGAGGGGGGTCCAGCGCCGATCCGAGAAATCCGCGCGGACCTCCGAGCTTTTATGCTTACGTCATTCTTCGTTCCCCTGCTCTTGGCCGCCCCCGATCCTCTCGCTGCGACGCGATCATGTCCGGGTTAAGCTTCGCGGAGAGACATCTGGAGGACCCCGGCTTCACGGGCCCGGCGCCGCCCGCTGGCGGCGCCGCCACGCCCCCCGACGTGGAGCTGGACGGCCTCGGGGGCCTCGCGCGGGCGGAGGCGGCCCCCCCCCCGAGGAGGCAAAACGCACCCAGACCTGACACGCAGGCAAGCACTCAACACACCCAGACCCCCTCGCGTTGGTTGAAACGATCGCGACGGGAGGCCTTTCGCTACACTTTCGGCCTCCGGGGGCCCCTTCCTGGGCCTTGGGAGCGTCAAAAAACGGCTCGGGATGCAAGATCGGTCATGGGGAAGGGGTCAAGACCTCTGGGGGTCACGCACTCACTCACTCACCACTCACTCACAAGCATTGTGGAGGACGATCAATGGAGAGGAAGCATGTTGCCAAATCATTTCCAGATGTCTTAAAACATGTGTTTAAACTGTTAAAACCAGGTAACACAACATGCTTTAAACATGTTCAGGACATTTCCCGACACTTAAACACATGCTTAGTTCGGTGCCAGGACTGTTCGGGTGTCCATTGTCGTGGTATCCACAACACAAGCCATACGCCGTCCGGCGCGTGGGCAGGAGCACAGTCTCAAGCAACGACACGAAATGGAGGGTGAGCCGGCGAAGCGGATCAAGAGGAGGAGGAGGAGAGGGAGGAGGAGGAGAGGGAGGAGGAGGAGAATGAGGAGGAGGAGGAAGAGGAGGAGGAGCAGGAGGAGGAGGAGCAGGAGGAGGAGGAGGAGGAGGTCCAGACCTCGGGGGTCGACGTTGTGAAGAAGTCACGACGTCGGGGGGTCTTGGCACGGGGGGGCTGATGCCGCTCTCGGCCCCGGGGGCGCCGCGCGGGCGTAGGCGGCCCCCGAGAGGAGGGAGCCGCGCCCAGGCCTCCAGCGCAGGGCCAGTCGGGGGCCCATGACCAAGAAGCACCCTGCTTGCCCCCCAGGGTGCCCATGGGTTGCTTGGGTTTCGATGGCCTTGCCATGGACCGCGTGGCGTTCCCACGCCAACAGAGACCAATGCACGTCCTGGGGTCTCAGGGCTGGGCTTCTTGTGGAAGGTTTCTTGTGGAAGGGCCCCTGATGTACGGAGGTTTGGTTTGCCGTTCTCGGCCTCTGGGGGCCCTCCTCGGGCCCATTCCCAGACATGCGACGTCCTGATTTTTGTCGATGCGGGGTCCCTGAAAGTCCCGACCATTTCCCCGGATCGGTTTTTCGTCCTGAGTCGTTTTTTCGACGACCCTGAAGCCCAGAGAGGGCCCCCCGAGGCGGAAAACTGGCAAAATCCTCCTCCCGTCCTGATTTTTTTTGCGACGCGATCATGCCTGGGATTGGACCGTCCAAAAACATACCTCAGGATGACAAGCCGGTTCCAGGGAAGTGGTCCAGGCCTCCCTGGGGATAAATCGGGCCTGTCCCTCTACAGGAGGAGAACTCAAAAATAGTCAAACAATCGTCAGGGGACGATTAGTTTAAATTATTTGTTTGGCAAAGCTTCAGTTTTTTTTCTTTCTTGCGAAGGCCTTACGGCCAGTGCCGCCGACCCTGAGAACGACAAAGATGACAACGAGGGGGGGCAGGGAGGAGGAGGAGGAGTGGGAGGTGGAGGAAGGGTGGGGGAGGTGGATGAGGGAGGAGCAGGGGGGACAAGGATGTGGAGGAGAAGCAAGAGGAGGAGAAGGTGGCAGAGGAGAGCAGGAGAAGGGGGAGCAGTTTTTGGCGTCCAAAATCCGCCTGTAGGGGGACATGCCCGACCTAACCCTGGGGCCAACGTCGTGGATAAAAAGTTCCTCGGGGGCATGTGGGCCCGGAGGGCCCTCGCCGCCAAGGCCGGGTTCTCCTCGAGGCCTTCCCATCGGCAGAGAGAAGCGCCCCAGGAGAGGTCGGGGGAGTGGCGATATGTCGGTTCTTTCCTAGCTCTCTGGCGATGTAATGTTGTCGGCCGGCGGTTCCTCCTCGATTTCGGCGGGGCGTGCTGTTATTTAATCGCTTCGCTCATTCCGCCGGCCCATACAGTCTCATGTCTGCCGTTTGCCCGAGGGCCTGGTGTCAATGCGGCGCTTTGGGGGTTCCTGGGGCCGCTTGGGGGACTCCTGGGGCGCTCGGGGGGGCATTTGGGGGGCCTCCTGGGGCCGCTTGGGGGACTCTTGGGGGCCTCCTGAGGGCCTCGTGGGGGCCTCTTGGGGCCTCTTAGGGGCCTCTTGGGGCCTCGTAGGGGCTTCTTAGGGCCGAGGGCTCGAAATGTTGTTTCGTGTTCCCTCTCTGGGGCCCCTTTGGGGGCGTTCTTGGGGCCCTCTTGGACCGTCTTGGAGGCTTCTTGGGCCGTCTTCGAGCCCTCTTGGGCCATCTTGGGGCCCTCTTGGGGGCCTCTTGGGCCCTCTTGGGGCGATCTTGGGGGCCTCTTGGGCCGTCTTGGGGCGTCGGGAAGCCGAAAAGGTGGAAGCTCCAAAATCTTTCAAAAACCTAAGGAAAAGCAATGAATTTTGCCTCCGGGGGCCCTCTTGGGAGTGCTCTTGGAGGCCTCTTGGGGGGCGTCTGGGGGCTATCTTGGGCGTCTTGGAGCGATCTTGTGGCATGTCGGACCCCTCGTGTACCATCTTGGGGGCCTCTTGGGGGCCTCTTGGCCTTTCTTGGGGCTCTCGGGGACGTCTCGGAGCCCTGTTGGTGCGCTCATGGGGCGCTCTGGTGACTTCGCCCGGGGATCAGCCGGGAGTCGCCCGGGGTACTTTTCGTCTGGGGACCCCCAGGGGCCGCCCCGCGCGCGCGAACTAGAGAATTGTTAACCAGTTACCAGAGATCTTAGCACGCCTCTGGCCCGTTGGGTCGGCGAATTTTTCTCGGGCCCCAGGAGCATCAAACAAGGTCCCAGGACGGCAAACTGCCCCCAGGGAAGCCGCTGGGACCTCTTCCCAGACATTTGACATCCTGATTGTTTCAATGCGGGGTCCCTGGAAGTCCTGACCCTTTCCCCAATTTTCTGGGCTGGGGCCGCGGATTGAAACACGTCGCATAGAAATCGGCAGATGTCACGCGTTTTTTGCCCCCCCCCCCCCCCCCCCCTGGAGGAGGAGGAGGAGGAGGAGGAGGAGGAGGAGGAGGAGGAGGAGGAGGGAGGAGGAGGAGGAGAGGGGGAGGGGGAGGAGGGAGGAGGAGGAGGAGAGGAGGAAGAGGGAGGGAGAGGGGGAGGAGGAGGAGGAGGAGGCGGAGGAGGAGGAGGAGGACCTCCCTCCCATCCCCCTTCCCAGGAGGCGGCTCGGCCGCAGGGCGGACATGCGCATAGAGGCAGGGTGGAAACAGCGGCGCGAGAGCAGGGCGGAAGCATATCGGCATCCAAGGAGCTCGACAAGAGTAGCTTGGCACCACTCGGGCGTGTGCATTTTTTCGGCGAGGACCATCGAGGAGCACCCTGGATCACCGAGCAAAAGAAAACACGCACGAAGCCGACAAATGCACGGGGAATGGACGTCCGAGCGACGGCAGGGCAGGGCGGACAGTTTCGCCGAAGCGAGGCGGGTCTGGAGTCAGGGCCTTCTTGCCCACTTCAGCGGCGGCCTGGCAGTGGTGTGCGTTCTGCGCCTCTGGCCGAAGCCGCCCCGCTGCCACCACTGCCCCCAGGGGCGGCGGTCCGTCGGACGGGGCTAGGACGAGGAAAAGTCCGTTCCAGCGAGCGTTCCAGAACGCTCTCAGAGCGTTCTGGAACGCTCTGAGAAGGCCGCGGTCGCCGATACATCCTCCAGAGCCGCTGGATCTCAGAGATTCTCGATTCATCCTCCCCCGATTTTATCCTCGTCCTGACTCCGTCTCAGTCGGGACCTCTCGGGGCCGCGGATGGAAAAGTTCACATCGGCAGATGTCATGTCACTTGCCACCCCCCAGACCCAGACCCCCGACGCCGTGTTTTTTTCATAACGTCGACCCCCCGAGGTTTGGACCTCATCTGGGACCGGCTGTTCATCCCGAGTCGTGTTCTGACGGTCCCCAGGCCCAGTAATGGTCCCTGGAGGCCGCGTGTGCGTGTGCGTGTGAGCGTGCGTGACCGTGTGCGCGTGCGTGTGCGTGTGCGTGTGCGCGTGCGTGTGCGCGTGCGCGTGCGCGTGCGCGTTCTCGTGCGCGTGAACATCGCGAAGGGCCACCCGTCGCGATTTGCTCACAGCGCGCGAGAGGGGGCCTGGGCTTGCCCCCCCACCGAAGGCGGCCCGGTGGTGCGCGTTCTGCGCCCGCCCGAAGCCGCCCCGCTGTCACCACTGCCGCACCTGCGAGCGCTGCGTGCTGAAGATGGACCTCTTCCTCCTCCTCCTCCTCCTCCTCCTCCTCCTCCTCCTCCTCCTCCTCCTCATCCTCCTCCTCCTCCTCCTCCTCCTCCTCCTCCTCCTCTCCTCCCTCCTCCTCCTCCTCCTCCTCCTCCTCCTCCTCCTCCTCCTCCGCCCCCCCCCCCGTCCCCCCCTCCTCCTCCTCCTCCTCCTCCTCCTCCTCCTCCTCCTCCTCCTCCTCCTCCTCCTCCTCCTCCTCCTCCTCCTGCGTTGAGTTTTTTTTGCAAAGGGATTTGGACCAGAGCGAGGGCTCAGGCCGCTGGATACTCGTGCGACGGACTTTGCCCGAAGTGCGGGATGCCCGACAGCGTGCGGCACCGCGTTTGGCAGTGCCTTCACCCTGACACCGTCGCCGCCCGTAAAAGTGTTACTGATGACTCTCCTGTTGAATGGCTGGACGAAGCTCTTGAAAGTCAGGACCGTTTGTTCTTTGATGAGTTAAAGTGGGAGCACCCTGAAGCCTCCTACCCTCCTCCGTCCTCGGCCACTCAACCCATCCGGTACTCTCCTGAAGGGGATATTATTGATTGGGGCTCTGTGGACCTCTCGGGTTGCGATGTCGTCATGGACGGCTCGGCCTATCGGCATACCGTTAGGGAGTTGTCCAGAGCGGCTTACTCCTGGGTTTTCTTGGGAGAGGGCGACACTATTATTGCGCACGCCAAAGGTACTGTTCTTTCGGTCCTCCCCCAGACCTCCCAAGCTGCGGAGCACCTTTGCATGGCCCTCCTCCCGATGTTTCAGAGAAACGGCGGAGACCGCCACACCGATTGCATGAATGTGGTGCGCATCTGCGTGGCGACGAGGGAGTACCAGGTTTTCCATAAACATCGTTATGCTGGTCTTCGGAGAGGTGCCCTGCTCCATGAGAAGTTCCCCATCCCGTCGGTGCACCACACACCTGCGCACCGTGCGCGCGCTGTTCTGGATGCTCTGCCAGCGCACGAGAAACGGATTAGTATAGGCAACTTGAAAGCCGACGCCCTTGCCAAGCAAGCTCTCCTCCTCCATCCCCAACCCAGTGTGCACGAACGTACGGAGGTGGACAGGAAGTGTGATTCGTTGGCTTTCGCTGCCAGGGTGGCGGGCACCGTGCTGGCCACCTTTCCTCCCGAAAAGTTTGAGCGTCGGCCCTTGGGACCGAGGGCTAAGTTTTTCAAATCGGGAGGTTGGCATTCCTGGCAGGAAATAGGTCAGGGCTGCGCCAGATGTTTGCATTGCCTTTGTTTGTCCACTGATCGGGATGCGCGCCCCATGTTGGGATGTAAAGGACCCAGCAGGCTGTGGCGTGGTGTCCTGGATCGGTCCTTGGGGCACTCGTTGGCGCATTGCATTGTAAGCAAAGGTGAGCGGAGGCTCACCCTCTTCTTTTGCTCCGTGTGCGGAGCGTACTCCTCTGCGCGCTGTCATATGCTCGGCAAGGAGTGCCTTCAGCGCCGACTGGCGGGTGGCACTACCGTGCTGAGGAGGGTCTTTGCTGGCCTCTATCCTCACTATCGTGACAATAGCACGGTGAGCGAATCCTCGAGGCGAGGCGTGGCTTTCTTTTGCTACGAGTCTCAGAGGCCACCGCCGCCAGATGTCAGCCTGCCGCTCTCGCCGTCAGGGCTGATAGAGAAGGCAGGTATGGCGGCGCTCCTGGCACGCATTCAGGCCCGTGAAGCGTCGGCGGTGGCACGGCCCGTTGCCTCGCCTTTCGGCGACGCACCGTGACCAGATTTTGACCAGATTTTGTGGATGGCGGGTGGCTAAATCTGGGGCCTCATCTGTCCCCTGTCCCGCCCGCTGTCCCTCATCTGCTGGGCTGTACGTCAGACGTGCTCAGCGGGTGAGCTGGTCTTCGGCCATCGTGGCCAACGTGCTGTTTCAAAATCGTTCAGGCCCCCAGGGGATCGCTGACAAATCCTCCTCCTCCTCCTCCTCCTCCTCCTCCTCCCTCCTCCTCCTCCTCCCTCGTCGTCCCCCCCCCTTCTCCTTCTCCTCTACTCCCTCCTTCCTCCTTCCTCCTCCTCTCCTCCTCCTCCTCCTCCTCCTCCTCCCCTCATCGCCTCCTCCTCCTCCTCCCTCCTCCTCCTCCTCCTCCTCCTCCTCCTCCTCCTCTGCTCCCTCCTCCTCCGTCTCCTCGTCCTCTCCTCCTCCTCCTCCTCCTCCTCCTCCTCCTCCTCCTCCTCCTCCTCCTCCTCGTCCTCCCCAGCCGCCGAGAATGGAGGGGGAGGGGGAGCGCCGCCCAGACATGATCGCGTCGTCAAAAAATGCAGGGCGGTAGGTTTTTGGCCGTTTTCGTCCTCTCGGAACCCTCGCTGGGCCGCGGGGCCGTCCAAAAGACGACTCGGGACGCAAAACCAGCCCCGGGGAAAGGGTCGGGACTTCCAGGGGCCCCGCATGGGAAAAAATCAGGACGTCGCATGTCTGGGCCACCACATTGCCCACCAAACCACCCCAACCCAACCCGAAGGCTCTGATTTGCCCTCCATTTCCAGTGGGGGGGGGCAGGGGAACGTTGACAAAAACGCGTGTGGAACCCGTGCCCCCCCCCAACCCGAAATGTGGGTCTTCGGGTTGGGTTGGGGTGGTCTGGTAGGCAGTCAGGACCACCACTGCCCCTTCCTCGGCAACTGCGTGGGCCAGCGGAGCGTCCGGGGGTTCGGCCGGTCGGCGGGCTGCGGGGCGGGCCGCGGCGGCGCGAGAGGCGGCCCTCGCAGGAGGCACGGGCCTTCCGACCGGAGAAGAACAGCCCCAAAGATCATAGACCCCCCTTGCGCTGTGAGAAAATCACGGCGGGAGGGTTTTCGCTGTATTTCGGCTTCCAGGGGCCCTTACCAGGCCTCGGGAGCGTCAAAGAACGAGTCGGGATGAAAAACTGGTCCTGGGGAAAGGGTCGGTCGGGACTTCCAGGGACCCCGCATAGAAAAAATCAGGAGGTCGTATGTCCTGGACTCAAAGATCTGGGCGTTGCGATTTTTTCCGCGCCGGCCGTTTCCACCCAGTTTCGAGCCCCAGGACCCTCACAGATCGATATGCGGCTCGAGAAATGCCGCAGAAAGATGGGGTTCAGGGTTTTGGATGTGATTTGTTATGATGCTGTATTTTGTTTTGTGATGTCGGACCTCAGGGAGCGGCAGGAACACACATCGTTGTATGCCCGCGCGGATGTCTCGGATCGGCGCGAGGCCCCCCTGTAGGGCGGCAGGGAGGGGGTCCGCGCCGATGGAAGACGTGCGCGCGGACCTTCGAGAACGAGTGTTCAGGATGCGCCTGGCCAGGCAGCAGTGGACGTGTATGGTGTGGACAGGTTTCGTCGCCCGAAGGTTTCCTTCATCGGAGGAGGGCCCTTGGAGGCTTCCAGGAGGCCCCTCAGAAGGGCGAGGGGGGGCCTCTGTTCCAAGCAATGGCGAAGCGTCCTGGCCCGCCTATAGCCCTACCAAACAATGTTCTGAGAACCTTTTCTGGTTTCCACGGAACTTTCTTAGAACATTTCTGGCGGAGTCTGTCTTGTTTTAACACCTCGGGTTTATGTTCTGAGAACATTGTTTTTGCTCTTAGAGCATTTTGGGGGTTCTAAGAACACTTCGTGGTAGAATTATAGGAGTGCCGGGACGGTCGGTCCCTGCTCAACTGTTTTGGGAGCCCCCCCCGCCTTCCCGGGAAAGGGGTCCAGACCTCTGGGGGCCGAGGTTGCGAACAACATCGCGACGTCGGGGGCCTGGGAAGTCCGAAACCGCTTTCCCCAGGAGCAGGCTTTCGCCCCATATCCGGGCTTCATCGGCCAGGGTCCCGAGAACGGGCCCCGGAGGCCGAAGTCTATTCCAAAAAGCACCGGGATCATCCCGGACACATGGGACAGATGTGTCCCATTGGGACACATCGTGCATCGTCAGAGATCTGGCTTCTGCGCGCCGCCGAGGAGCTACCCGAGGTGCGACGGCAGTGCAAGAAAATTCGCAAGTCTGTAGGGTGTAGTTTTGAGATAGGACCTGCCGCGTGAGCTTACGGCCGCCCTCACCGCTGGGCCGATGTGGTATACGCTGAGCAGCAGGCAGACGTTGGCTTGAGAGCTGATCCTCCACCGCCCACCCCCCACCTACCAGCCATACTTAATCAAATATTGCGTCAAGTCCAAAGCAACTCTGATGCTCGCACGGAGCCACTTCCGCGCATGCTCCCCCAGACCCCTCAGCATCTGATTCGACCACTCTGACCCGACAAAGCTGTCCAGGATAGGGCGGATGGAGGGCGGCTCGGGGGAACTATCCAACGCTCTCTGTTATGATGATCTGGGTTGCCGCGCGCACTCCCTGATCGATTCTGCGGAAATCGATTGTAGTCCCTGATTATGTGCAGGCTGGATGTCCGAGCGCTCGCTTGGATGAGCTGTTCTGTGAGTGCAGATGTCGCCTCCAAGAAGTACTGCACCTGGGAGCTGTTGCACGCAAACGCCTCACCTCGGACAGCGGCCAGTTCGCAGACACCGCTTTCGGATGAGCACTGCAGTGCGTCAGGGGGGGCTCCCAACGACGTCGGCTTGGAATGCGTTGAGCAATGCAGCATGGTATCGCCCTCCACGAATTCAATATGGAGGTCAAGAACATCCATTTCTTGAGACAGGCCTCCCAGGTGTCATGATAAAGCTGGAATGGCGTATGGTTTCCTCCCAGTGCGGGCAGAAGGCGAATCTCCGCAAACGAACGAATATGCCAATGGCATCCTTCATGCGAGTGTGACGTGGGATGCAGTACTCCTCTGCGCTGCCTGGCTTGAGGGGGAAGCGGATCACAAGTCGACCAGAAAGCCGCGTCGGCTATGTCGCTGGACTCCGCAAAAGAACGAACACGTCAACGGCATCCTTCATGCGAGTGCGACGTGGGATGCAGTACTCCTCTGCCTGGCTTGAGGGGGGAAACAGATCACACGTCGACCAGAAGGCCGTGTCGGCGATGTCGCTGGACTCCGCAGAAGAACGAACACGCCAACAGTACATATCCTCCATGCGAGTGTGACGTGGGGTGCAGTACTTCCCTGCGCGGCCTGGCTTTCGGGGGGGGAAGTCGGGATCACAGGGCGACCAGGAAGCCGCGCCCGGCCATGTCGCTGGACATGTGGAGGCCCCGCCTGGAGCCACGCCGGGTTCCACACGATGGTCAGCCAAGTTGGTCCACATATCGGTTGCCCAGCATTTCTCCTCCTCCTCCTCCTCCTCCTCCTCTTATTCCTCCTCCTCCTCCTCCTCCTTCTCCTCTTATTCCTCCTCCTCATCCTCCTCCTCTTCCTCCTCTTCCTCCTCTTCCTCATCCTCTTCTTCCTTTTCCTCCAGCATGAACTGGATGGCATCACGCACGAGCTCACGAAAGGGGGGTTCAGCCAACTTGGAGGCTTCATCGGCTAGGACTCTCAGGTCGCCTGGCAAGTAAACATCCAGCACCTTCGCTTGTACTTACATGTGGCCCGGTTCAAGTGTGACCACCTTGTTCAGCTTGTCATTCAGACCCCGCGTGTCTATCAGGATGTGAAGATCGTATTTCAGATTTCAGAGACGGCATTACTGCCCAGGACACCCAGTGTCCCAATGTTTTGAAAAGTTACTGGTGGCAGCGATGTATGATTCGGAGGGAGAGCTGCCCCTCTGTGGCCGTGGCCTGTGTTTGGGATCACGGTGGATTCGAAGCTGATCGTTGGCGTCGCTCGCCTGATACGTACATCAGCTGATTTGTTGTTCATGGCTTTGGCAAACTTGCCGACGAGGGTGTCGAAATGCTTTCGGACTGGCTGCGCCACGACATTGAGAGTGCCAAGGTGGTCGTGGTGTGCTGGTGGCATGGCGTGGCTTCCAGGAGTCCCGACCGCTTCCCCGGGAACAGTTTTTCGTGCCACGGATCCATGTTTGAAGGTATTGGGGCCCGAAAACCCAGACCCCCGACGTGGTGATTTTTTCACAACGTCAAACCCCAGAGGTCTGGGCCCCTTTTTCGGGACCGGTTTTGCATCCTGAGTATGTTTTTGACGGCCCCGAGGCTCGGTAAGGGCCCCTGGAGGCCGAAAAAAGCGAGAAATTTCCCGTCGTGATTTTCTCAAAACGCGAGGGGGTCTGGGAACGGACCCAGAGGCCAAAGTCTCTAAATAAAACGCACCGGGATTGGAACAGATGGTGTATCGTGTGAGATCGTGATCGTTTTTTATTCATTGTTTTGCCGATCGGCGCGGGTCCTCGCACCCCACCCCTCCCCCTCCCCATGGAGTAGATCTTGGCTGTTTTGGGGCGCCCGTTTCGAGCAGGTGGGGCCTCCCCCAGAATGGACGCACCGTTGCAAACAGTGGCGTTCAGCAGAGGTCCGGAGCCAGATCTCCCCCTCTCCCCCCCCCCCTTTCCGCTCCCCGTCGAAACGCCGAATACGAAAACGCCCGCGCGTGAGATCTGGGCTCCGCGCGCCGCCGAGGAACTACCCCTACTTCTGCCTGCTCCTGCTGGACCTCGTGGCCGGCTCCGCCCTCCTGCTGGCGGTCCTGCTGCCCCAGGCGCCGCCCGCGGCGGGCGGGGGCCCGGGGAGAAGGGCTGGGCCCTGGGCTGCGCCTGCCCCAGGCAGGCTCGCGTCGTAGCAAAAATCAGGACTGGAGGTTTTCGGCCTCCTCCTCCTCCTGCTCCTGCTCCTCCTCTCCTGCTCCTCCTCCTCCTCCTCCTCCTCCCGCCTCCTCCTCCTCCTCCTCCTCCTCCTCCTCCTCCTCCTCCTCCTCCTCCTCCTTATCCTCCTATTAGTATGCCCTCGCCGGGTCTCGGGACCGTCAGACAACGACTCGGGACGAAGAACAGGTGTCGGGGCAGGGGTCGGGACTTCCAGGGACACCGTATTGAAAAAATCAGGACGTCGCATGTCTGGGACTGCTTGCTACCTTAGCTGCCCTGATACGCCCGTTTTGAAACGCAACGCGTGCCGTGCTCAGGACGTCCGTGCTAACACGCTGCGTGCTGGCCCAACGTGTTGGCCCACGTTTGGTCGAACGCATCGCGCCAAACGTACGTGTTCAACCTACGTGTTGAACTCCGTATCAACACGCTGAGTGTTGCGTGTCGCGTATCGGGGCAGCTAAGCTTGCTACGGTCAAGACGCTGAGATAAGGACCACGTTGGGCTCAGGAGGGGCTCTTTGTTTTCGGACCGCTCCTCAGCTCTAGGTCAGAGGCCTGGTCGTTGCCGAGGCACGCCGAGGACAGAAAAAACCCTTCTTTCCTTACGAGTTGTTCTTTTTCACGATGACTGCTCTTCTTTTCTCACGAATCGTTTTCCGTACGAATCGTTTTATTTGGGGAACAAGCGGGGGAAAACAAAAACATTTCTTTCCTTACGAATCGTTTTCCTTACGAATGTTTGCTCTCTTTTTTCCCCACTCAAGGGGGAATGCGGCATAGGCAGAACTTCCTGAGGTCTGCGCGGGTTTCCCGAATATGTGTGGGATCCCCCCCCCTGGCGGCGCCTCTGGCGCCGCCCCCAGGCGCGCTCCGCGCGCCATAGAGCGCCGATTTCAGAGAACCGCGGGAATCGCGAGAACCAGAGACTCCGAGGGCATTGGATAAAGAAGCATTGGATGAGGAACCCCGGTGCCTGGAGGTCGGTGGAACTCCAATCGTGGAGTGGCCATGGGTAACTCGACGCCCTCGCGATAGATGAGTGGTCCTGCGCCAATTTTCCAGAGCCGCGCGGACCTCCAGAGGCCTATGTTTACACAGCCGCTTCTTTCCCTACGTGGGGCCTGCTGGCCTGGACAGCTTGCCCACTCTTCGGCGACTGCAAACTATAGGGTTACGCCCAGGTGTGGTTTGAGATCGGCACCGTCGGGGCCTGGGGAGCACGAGATTGTCCTCGTCGGGCCTTCTCGGGGCGCGGCGCAGAGCTCCGTCGAGGTCATCGCCCTCACCCCGGGGTGCCCCCCCAGGGTGCCGGTTGCAAACCACACCCTCTGCAAACTACACATTTCGGAGTCGCCGAGCTCTTCTCGTCTTGCCTCAGCCAGGCGCCGTCTCGCTCTCTCGTGCCCCTGCCTCTGCCTGCCTGGCTTGAAGTGTCTCTCCGCCGCTGCCTCCCGCTCGCCATCCGCTGTCTTCCCCACTTTGCCTCCTTCCTCCAGTGTCGCCTGCGCTCCTGGCGACGTCTCTTGCGACGTTCCCAGCTTGCTCAGCGTTCTTCAGCCTCACGTCGTGGTGCTGGTTGTGAGTCGGCGTCGTGGGGGAAGAAAACCCAGACTTGCGACGTCCTGATGTTTTCAACACGGGGTCCCTGGAAGTGCCGACCACTTCCCTGGGACCGGTTCTTCGTCCCGAGTCGTTTTCTGACGGTCCCGAGGCTCGGCGAGGGCCCCCCCGAGGCCGAAAATATGGAAAAACCGCCCGTCCCGATTTCATCACGACGCGGCCATGTCTGGGAACCCTGAGATCCGACGCTGCAACCAAAAATACAACATCGCAAAAATCGCGACCAGAGACCTCGACTTCATCTTTCTGCGTCATTTTCCGAACCAGATCGGTCCGCGAGGGTCCCGTGGCCCGAAATGGCGCGAAAACGCCCTTAGCCCCAAACATGCAACACCAGGATCTCAGGGAACCTGCCCTGACCAGGCGCCGTCCGTGCTGCTGGGCGAGGGCTGGGTCCCATGCCTCGGCCTCCTGGCGGCGGTGCTCGTGCCCTGGGGCGCCCTGGCTCTGCTCGGCCCCTTCTTCCTGGTGCACCTCAGGCTGTCGAGAGGAGGGGGAGGAGGAGGAGGAGGAGGAGGAGGAGGAGGAGGAGGAGGAGGAGGAGGAGGAGGAGGAGGAGGAGGAGGAGGAGGAGGAGGAGGAGCAGGAGGAGGAGGAGGAGGAGGAGGAGGAGGAGGAGGAAGGGGAGGAGGGGGAGGATGAGGAGGAGGAGGAGGAGGAGGAGGAGGAGGAGGAGGAGGAAGGAGGAGGAGGGAGGAGGGCCCGCCGAGACAGCGGCGGCACTGACGGGCGCTGCTCGTCCTCTTTGGGGCCTCCTCCTGGTGGCCTCTCGTCGGCGCGGCCGGATGCGCCTATAGATCCGCGAACGGGTCGGGATGGACCTTGGGCGGGGTCCCGAGACCGTTCTTGAGCGGATCTACGGGGCCCAAGCCCAGACATGATCGCGTTGTGAACAAATCAGGACTGGAGGTTTTTGGCCGTTTTCGTCCCCTGGGAGCCCTCGCTGGGCCTCGGGACCGTCAAAAAACGGCTCGGGACGAAAAACCAGCCCCGGGGAAAGGGTCGGGACTTCCAGGGACCCCGCATTGAAAACATCAGGACGTCGCATGTCTGGGAAATATACACCACCACCACCAACCACCACCACCACCACCCCCCCCCCCACCACCACCCCCCCCACCACCCACACACCACCACCACCACCACCACCACCACCACACCACCACCACCACCACCACCACCACCACCACCACCACCACCACCCCCACCACCACCACCACCACCACCACCACCACCACCACCCCCCACCACACACCACCACCACCACCACCACCACCACCCTCGCTCCCTCTCCAAGGAGAAGGAGGAGGGGAAGGGAGGGCGGAGGAGGAGGAGAGGAGGAGGAGGAGGTGGTGGTGGTGGTGGTGGTGGAGGGGAGGGGAATGTGAGGGGAGGAGACGGATAATGAGGAGGGCAAGGGGAAGGGGGGAATGGAGTGGTGGTGGTGGTGGTGGTGGTGGTGGTGGTGGTGGTGGTGGTGTGGTGGTGTGTGTGTTAACTTCTTGGGGCCCGCAGGGTCTGGGTTGCGCGGGGGGGGGGGGGGGGGGCGCCTTTCGACGTATCGACGAGGAGGCTGGAGGCGCGAGCACCGAGGGTCGAGGCATCGGCCGCCTGCCTCGCCGCCCTCTCCCAGCAACCTCTGCCCCCCTCCTCCTGAATCCTCGATCCTCCTCGACCCTCGATGCTCTTCGACCCTCCTCGATCCTCCTCGATCCTCCTCGATCCTCCTCGATCCTCCTCGATCCTCGATCCTCCTCGATCCTCGATCCCTCTCGATCCTCCTCGATCCTCGATCCTCCTCGACCCTCGACCCTCGATCCTCCTCGATCCTCGACCCTCCTCCTCCTCCTCCTCCTCGAGGCTCGTCCTCAGGGACGAGACGTCGCTGGAGCACCTCGCGAGGGAAGAGGGGCACCGCCGCGTGGGCGGCGCCGCGGTCCCCCGCTCGGGCCCTGCGGGGGAGGCTCGGAGGGCGTGCAAGGGGGGGGGGCGATGCAGTCAACCCGTATAGAAGGATGCGGAGGAGGGGGAGGAGGAAAGAGGAGGAGGGGGAGGAGAGAAGGAGGAGAGAAGGAGGAGGAGGAGGAGGAGGAGGAGGAGGAGGAGGAGGAGGAGGAGGAGGAGGAGGAGGAGGAGGAGGGGGTCGTCAAGGAACGACTCGGGATGAAGAGCTGGTCCCGGGGAAGTGGTCCAGACCTCTGGGGTTCGACGTCGTGAAAAAATCACGACGTCGGGGGTCTGGGGATGCAAGCGAGGCGCGGCCAACGAAAGTGGCCAAGGATGGACCGATGAGGCAAGGATGCAAAAGGTACCCCTGGGAAGGTCGCCCATCCTTACTGTGCGGGTCGAGTGTAAGTGGGGGGGGCAGCGGGGGCTTCAGAGAGGAGACCCTTTGGGGCCCCTGCAGGGGCCCTTCGGGCCCCAAAGGGAGCCTGCATGGCCCCGAAAAGCGCACCTATATCTCCCCCCCCCAATGTATCGCCCCCCATCGCCCCCCATTCACTCGCTCCCAACACAGGCCGGCGTGCTGGCCCGCTTCGCCCGCGTGTTCGGGGCGCCCCCGGCCTCGTGGCGCCTCCCGCTGGAGCCTCGGGAGTCCCCTGAGATCCTGGCGTCTCAATTTTTCGAGCCGAGCATTTCCGCTTTTTTCGTGACTGGGACCCTTGCAGATCGATCCGGTTCGAAAAATGACGCAGGAAGATGGGGTCTAGGGCTCTGGGCGTGATTCTTCTAAGAAGTAGTATTTTTTTCGCTGCGTCGGATCTCAGGGTCGGCGACTACATACCCAGACCCCCTCGGGCCATGAAAAAATCATAGCGCGAGGTTGACCTCTAGAGGCCCTCACCGGCGCTCGGGACCGTCCAAACATGACTCGGGAAAAGTTGATCCCGATGAATGGGTCGAGTCTTCTGGGAGTCGACGTTGTGAAAAGATCATGACGTCGGGGGTCTGGGATGGGTGTGGTTACGCTGGGGTGTGGTGTGCGATCGGCGCCGTTCAGGCCCGGGGGGGCACGACACTCTCCTCGTCGGGCCGTGCGGTGGAGAGCTCCGTCGAGGTCCCCGCCCGCTCCCCAGGGTGCCCCCCAGGGTGCCGGTTGCAAACCACACCCTCTGCAAACCGCACCCTTGGGAGTCGCCGGGGGAGGGGGAAGCCTTGAGATCCGGGCGTTGCAGTCTTGCCGCTCCGGGCGTTTTCGCCCGGTTGCGGCCCCCTGGAGCATCACAGTTCGATCCGGGTCAAAAGTGCAGCAGAAAGAGATGGGGTCTAGGGCTCCGGTCGTGATGTTCTGCGATGTTGGATTTTTTTGTTGGGCGACCTCAGCTTCCAGTGAAAGCCCAGACCTCCGAAAGAGCGCGTTCTGTGGTCGCTTGGAGGGGGGTTTGGAACCGGACCCCACTCCCTGGATGGAGGGCGGGGGTTCGAACTCCCCCCTCCCCCTTCCCGTGACGGAGGGAGGGCGGGTTCGAACACCCCCCTCCGCCCCCTCCCCCCCACTTCCTCCCATACTTCTCCTCTCTCCCTCTCCTCTCTCCCTCTTCTCGGGCCGGCGCCTGCGTCGGCGGCGGCTGGCGGCGGCGGAGGCGGGGACGACGATTTCTTTTTCTTTTTCTAGGCCGGCGCCGGCGCCTGCGGAAGCGGGCGGCGGCGGCGGCGGGGAGCGTCGACGAGGACGACACTGGTGGTGGTGGTGGTGGTGGTGGTGGTGGTGGTGGTGGGTCGTGGTGGTGGTGATGGCGGTGGTGGTGGTTGTGGTGGTGGTGGTCGTGGTTTGTTGGTGGTGGTGGTGATGGTGGCGGTGGTGGGTGGTGGTGGTGGTGGTGGTGGTGGTAGTGGTGGTGGTGGTGGTGGCGGCGCTGGTGGTGGTGGTGGTGGTGGTGGTTTGGTGGTGGTTTGCGGTGGTGGCGGTGGTGGCGGTGGTGGTGGTGGTGGGTTGTGGTGGTGGTGGTAGTTTGGCGGTGGTTTGTGGTGGTGGTTGTGGTGGTGGTGGTGGTGGTGGTGGTGTGGTGGTGGTGGTGGTGGTGGTGTGGTGGTGTGTGGTGGTGGTGTGGTGGGTTTGTGCTGCTGGTAGTGGTGGTTTTGACGGTGGTGTGTGGTGGTGGTGGTGGTGGTGGTGGTGTGATGGTGAGTTGTGGTGGAGGTGGTTGTGGTGGTGGTGGTGGTGGTGGCTGTGGTGGTGGTGGTGGTTGTGTGGTGGGTTGGTGGTGGTTGTGGCGGTGGGTTGAGGCGGTGGTTGTGGTGGTAGTGGTGGTGGTGGTAGTGGTGGTAATCGTCGATGCGTCCCCGCCGTCGCCGGCGCCAGGTGGGGGGGTTTGAACCCCCCCCCTGGGCTGCCTCTGGTCATCGTCGCTGCGTTCCCGCCGTCGGCGCTGCTGATGGCCGCCAGCGCCGGCGCCTGCGCCGGCGCCAAGGGGAGGGGGTTGAACCCTTCCCCCCCCCCCCCCCTTGGGGAGGGGGAGGGGGGGTTGGGAGGGGGAGTGGTTGGGGGGGGAGGGGAGGTTCCCTGGTTTTGATCGACGGCGCCGAGTGTTGGAGGGGGGGGGCCGACCCCTCGGTTCGAAACGCGCCGCCAAATGTTCCCAAGGCAAGCGCCCGTGAAACGCGCTCCCTCAGACCTCCGAAAGTGTGATTTCTGGAGGCCGAGTGTTTCTGTACAACCCTCTTTGGTAGGGGTTGCCGTTTTGAACAGGTTCTTCCTCCTCCGCCCTCCTGCCTCCTACTTCCTACCTCCTGTCTCGTCTTCCTTCTCTTCTTCCTCTCTTCTCTACTTCGTCCTGCTTGCGTCACTGGAGGGCTGCGAAGGGCGTATTTGTCACCACTGTTGTTGGTTCCTCGGATGTCCAGTGGAGTGGAGAGGTACGGGGACCTAGTTGGGACCTCGCGGCGCCCTGCTCGGCTGCGAAGTGCGCATCTGTCGCCATGTTCGTGGGCTCCTGGGAGGTCCAGCGGAGAGGAGTGGTACGCGGACCCAGTTGGGAGCGTCGCGGCTCCCTGGGGGGCTGCGAAGTGCGCATCTGTTTCCACTTTCGTGAGCTCCTGGTATGTCCAGCGCAGAGGAGTGGTACGCGGTACGCGGACCCAGTTGGGACGTCGCGGCGCCCTGGGTGGCTGCGAAAGGCGTATTTGTCACCACTTTTGTTGGCTCCTGGGATGTCCAGCGGAGTGGAGTGGTACGCGGATCTAGTTGGGACCTCGCGGCGCCCTGCTTGGCTGCGAAGTGCGCATCTGTCGCCACTTTCGTGGGCTCCTGAGAGGTCCAGCGGAGAGGAGTGGTACGGGGACCCACTTGGGACCCCGCGGCGCCCTGCTTGGCTGCGAAGTGCGCAGTTGTCGTTACTTTCGGGGCTCCTGGGAGGTCCAGCGGAGAGGATTGGTACGCGGACCCAGTTGGGACCTCGCGGCGCCCTGCGTGGCTGCGAGGTGCGCATCTGTCGCCACTTTTGTGGGCTCCTGGGATGTCCAGCGCAGAGGAGTGGTACGCAGACCCAGTTGGGACCTCGCGGCTCCCTGCGTGGCTGCGAAGTGCGCAGATGTCTTCCATTTCGTAGGCTCCTGGGAGGTCCAGCGGAGTGGAGTGGTACGCGGACCCAGTTGGGACGTCGCGGCTCCCTGGGGGGCTGCGAAGTGCGCATCTGTCACCACTTTCGTGGGCTTCTTCGCCTGGTTTCGGGCTTCGGATTCCTCGCAGATCTATCCGGCTCGAAAAGCGGCGCAGAAAGATGGGGCCTAGGACTCCGGTCGTCATTTTGCTACGGTGTCTCAACTTTTTCGCGACGTCGGACCTCAGGGACGGCACGCTGCCGCCTGGAACCCGTCCGCGTGCGGCTCCTTCGTTGTGGCCTGGAGGCCAGATGGGTTCTTCCGCAGCAACACTCGGACGGACTCCCCACGGCGGCGCGTCGTGGATGCCCCGACGTCGTCAGCCTCACAGGCCCGTGAGGCGGACGACCCAGGAGCACTGGCGGGCCGCGCAGCTCCCTGGGCCCAGCCACGTTGGGCTCACGAGCTGGTGCGCTGTAGCGCAGGTCGTGCCCGCGCGGGGTCCCCCGGCCCCCGACGTCGTGGTTTTGCTCGCAGCGCCGACCCCCGGAGGTCTGGACCGCGTCCCCGGAACCGGGCTTCTCCTCCTGGGTCGTCCACTGACGATCCCGAGGCCTGGTATACAGCAGTTCAGGGTCCCTGGAGGCCGACAGCAGCGCGAGAGACCTCCCGCCGTGGGTCTCCTGCCACGGCGCGAGGGGGTCTGGGTTTTGTGGCGCCCCCAGGAGCGAGCCCTGAGGAAGCTCGGCGCGCCTGGCGACGACGACGACGACGACGACTGCTGCGGAGCGGGCCTCGCCGCGCCGCCCGGGGCGCCTGGCAGGTCGGCCCCGCGCGCACCTCACCGGGGGTGTGTGGCGCGGGGGGGCCGGGGCCTTCTCTCCGGGGGCGGGGGGTGCTTCTTGGAGGGCAGGGGGGCCTCCTCCCAGGACCCAGGCCCCCTCGCGTTGCGCAATCTTCGGCCTCCGGGAGCCCTCACCAGGCCTCGGGGCCGTCCAAAGACGATATTCGTGATGAGAAACCGGCCTGGGCAAATGGGGCGAGACCTCTGGGGGTCGAAGTTGTGACAAGATCATGACGTCGGGGGTCTGGGTCCCCAGATCCCCCTTGAGATCCTGGCGTTGCATTTTTGTTCAAAGCCGGCGTTTTCGCTACATTTCGGGCCCCAGGGCCCTCACATATCGATCCGTCTCGAATAACGACACAGAAAGGTGGGGGCTAGGTCTCCGGGCACATTTTTTTGGCAACGTCGCATTTCAGGGGACGCCATCTCTGACGAGGCACCGGTGCTTCTAGGGAGCGGCCCCGTCTCTCTTAGGGAACCCCAGGCCCCCTCGCGCGGTGACAAAAACCACGACGGGAAATTTCTCGCTATCTTCGGCTTCAGGGGGCCCTTACCGGGCCTCGGGACCGTCAGAAAACGACTCGGGATGCAAAACCGGTCCCGAAAAAGGGGTCCAGAGCTCCGGGTCGACGTTGTGAACAAAATCACCACGTCGAGGGTCTGGGAAGGCTCATGGCGCCAATATCGCAGAGCGGATTTTTCCCAGGGTGTCCCCGGAGAATTTCGTTCCGAATTTCGAGGTGGTTTCGTGCGGATTTTTTTGTTGGGCCAGGAATGAAGATCAAAAAGAATCCACGCGAAATTCACTTCGTTGTTCGCTCGCCGCTTCGGGCAAAAAGCCACGCAGAAATCGACGCAGAACGCCGCTGCAGCACGTCTGCAAGGCCGGTGCAATGAGAAGGCAACCGCCCCTCCCTGGGATCCGACGCTGCCCCCCCCAAAATACAACATCGCAGGAGATCCCGACCGGAGCCCTGGACCCCATCCCAGACATGATCGCGTCGTAAAAAAGGCGGGGGGGTTTTGGCCGTTTTCGCCCCCTGGGAGCCCTCGCAGGGCCTCGGGACCGTCAAAAAACGGCTCAGGACGAAAAGCCGGTCCCAGGGAAAGGGTCGGGTTTTCCAGGGACGCCGTATTGAAGAAATCACGACGCCGCATTTCTAGGATCGCTCTGCGTCGTTTATCCAGCCAGCTCGACCCGGGAGGGCCCCGGGGCCCGAGAAAAGGGGAAGACGCCCGGCTCGAACAAATTCAGGCGCCAGGATCTCGGGGTTGGCGTAACCCCCCCGGGTGCGCGCCGCCACGCAGGGGGCCCACGGGCGCATCGCGGCGCCGCGCATGACGCTCCGTGGGATGGCGATCGGCGGGCCACGGGATGCAGGACTCGGGCAGGGCCGGGACGAGGATGAGCCCGCCATTCGAGAGCGTTCCGGAGCGCTCTCGGAGCGTCTCGGGGCGCTCTGAGGAGGCCGCGGCGCCCGACAGGTATCCTCCAGAGCCGCCGGATCTCAGAGGCTCTCGATGTGTCTTCCCCCCCGAACCCAGACATGCGACGTCCTGCTTTTTCTTCAATAGTCACGGGGTCCCTGGAAGTCCCGACCCAGCCCCTTGCCCCAGGACCGGTTTCCCGTCCTGAATCTGTGTTCACGGTCTCGAGGCCCAGCGAGGGCTTCCAGGGGCCGAAGATGGCCCCAAATCGATTACACGTAAGAGTGACCCTTCGCTGGAGTGACCTTTGGTGCGGGCCCACTGGGCCCCCCGATCGCCGAACGCGATGCGATGGCAGCGGCCTGCGCGCTCGGGATTCGCCCCCTCGCGCCCCCCAAAAGCCGCGCACCAGAGGTCACTCTTGCCCAGGGTCACTCTTGCGCGTAGCCGACGAAACCGCCCGTCCTGGATTTTCTGTTACGACGCGATCCTGCCTGGGAATGTACAGTCAACCCGCATAGTGAGGATGGGCAACCTTCCCAAGGGTACCCTTGCATCCTCGCCTCCTGGGTCCATCCTGGGCCACTTTCGTTGGCTGCGCCCCGCTCGAAAAGCTTCGAAGTGGGCATCCAAGGCCCTTGCATCCTTCTCCCGCATCCTTACTAAGTTAACGGGTTGACTGTACGACGCGATCCTGCCTGGGAGCGTACTCGTCCTCGCCCCGGCTCCGTCGGTAAGGATAGCGCCCGGCGCACAGGCCTCCCTCGTCGAGCTCCGCCGGCGGCCTCGGAGCGCGTGCCGGCCCTCGCTCCTCGGGGGCTCGAAGATGGGGCCCTGAGGGATGGGGTCCTGAGGATACGAGGTGCCTCAAATTCATACTGCAAGCCCAGGCCCCCTCGCGCGGTGACAAGAATCACGGCGGGAGGTTTTTCGCCGTTTTCGGCCTCCGCGGGCCCTTACCGGGCCGCGGGACCGTCAAAAAACGACTCGGGATGAAAGGCAGGTCCCGGGGAAGGGGTCCAGACCTCTGGGGGTCGACGTTGTGAAAAAAGCACGACGCCAGGGGTCCTGAGGACGAGGTGCCTCAAATACTGCAAATCCACCCCTGGATCCATTGTCCTCCGAGGCGGGAATGTATACATGACCGCCGCCTGGAGGTGCAATTCTTGGAGACCTCGGCGGGCGTGGGCGTCCGTCCCCAGGCGGTGGATATGGGTAAATCCCCGCCTCGCACCTTCGGCTTGTGGAAGTCGATTAACGGAGAGGAAGCATGCTGCCAAATGATTTCCAGATGTCTAAGAGATGTTTAAACTGTGTTTTTAAATATGTTTTAAATATGGTTGAACCATGTTTAGAACATGTTTTACACATTCTAAACACATCTTCAATTCAATGATCGGGTTGTTCGAGTGCCCACTGTCACATGGCACCCACAACCTCAGGCCCCCATCCCTCGGGGCCCCATCTCTGCACCACCGAGCCTCGCCGCGCGCGCCACGCGCCGAGCGCTGCGGGGCGAGCGAGGCGCGGGCCGCTCGGCCGCCGGCTGCCGGGCCTCGGCCAGGCGGCAGGGCTGTGTGCGGTACGCCCGTGCGGCGTCCTCTGCGAGCGCCCCGCACGTCCTCTGCAGACGCCCCGGGCCTCCTGAGCCGGAGAGCGGTGCAGAGCCAGACCGACTCGCCTGCGCGTGCCCTGAGATCCTGGCGTCCCAGACATGGTCGCGTCGTGAAACAGATCCGGACTTGGCCGTTTTCGGCCTCGGGGGGCCCTCGCCGGGCCTCGGGACCGTCAAGAAACGATTCAGGATGAAAAACTGGTCCCGGGGAAAGGGTTGGGGCTTCCAGGGACCCCGCATTGAAAAAATCAGGACGTCGCATGTCTGGGACCCTGAGATCCTGGCGTTGCAGTTTTTTCACAGCAGACGTTTTCGCCCAATTTCGGGCCCAGGGAGCCTCACAGATCGATCCGGCTCGAAAACATACAGTAACATGGGGTCCTCCGGTCGTGTTTTTATTTGCGATGTTGCAATTTTCTGCAGCGTCTGATCTCAGGGCCAGAGTGGGCCTTCGCTGGAGTGACCTTGGGTGCGGGCTCACGACTCTCCCCGATCGCGAAATTAGACGCGATGGCAGCGGCCTGCGCGCTTGGTTTGGGCCCGGCCCCCTCGCGCCCCCCACCCTGAAGCCGCGCACCACATGTCGCTCTTGCCCAGGGTCGCTCTCGCGTGTAGCCGACCGGTCGAGCTGGCTGGCGGGCCCCTGGAGCTGGTGGTCGGTGGCGGACGTCGTCCTCGGCGGTCGCAGCCTTCGCTGGCGCGTGAGCGCATGCCTCGCTGGCGCTGCGGCGGAGCTCCGTCGAGCTCCAGGCCTGGGTCCTGAGCCGAAGCGAGCGGCCGCTTTCAGAGCGGGTGCTGCAGGGGTCGACAGTGGAGCAGATATCGTCGTGGCGACTGCATCATCAGCTGGCATTCTGACAGCCAGCGCTGGCGTCGCACGATGGGAGCGCTTCAAACTACTCCCGCTTCGCAGACTGCCCCTCCTGCCTCCTCTTCCTGCTCATCTCCCCCTTCCTCATCGTCTCCTCCCGCCCTCCTCGGCCGCACAACTCCGCCTCCGTGCTGAGCGCGCCTGTGAGGCGGACGACCCAGGAGTACTGGCAGAAGGCTGAGCTCCATGGGTCCAGCCACGTTAGGCTCACGAGCTGATGCACTAGCGCAGGTCGTGCCCGTGCGGGGTCGCCAGACTCCCGACGCCGTGTTTTTTTTCACAGCGTCGACCCCGAGAGGTTTGGACCCCTTCCCCGGGACGCGTTTTTCATGCTGAGTCGTTGTTTGACGGTCCCGAGGCCCAGCGAGGACCCCCAGATGCCGAAAATAGCGAAAAACCTCCCGTCGTTTTTTTTTGTTTTTGCAACGCGAGGGGGTCTGGGTCGTGAGGTAGTCTTGGAGCCACCTTGGGCTATGCCGTCTTGGCCAGGCCTGGGTGGCTGTTCGGAAGGCAGCGTCGTTCCCGCGGAGCCGTCCTCTGAGGCCCCCCGGGCGGCCGCCCTATGGGGCCGTCGATCATCAGTGCCCCTGCTGTGGGCTTCCTCCCGAGGGCGACTCGCCAGGACGGTCGGAGGGGCTTGTCCAGGAGGGGCTTCGGCTGCTAGAGAGGCCTAATTTTTTTTGAGCCGGGCGTTTTCGTTTTTTGGGGGGCCCTGGGTCCCTCACGGATCGATCCGGCTCGAAGCATGACGCAGAAAGAGGCGGTCTAGGATTCCAGGTGTGATTTTTTACGATGTTGTGTGATTTGTTCGCTACGTCGAATCTCAGGAGAGAAGGCCTCCTCAGAAGGCGGCGGGACTTCTCAGAAGCCCTCGCGCCCTCTGAGTTGTTCTCTGCGTCTTCGGGGAAGGCTTCGACAACTTCTCGGAAGGCCCCGGGACTTCCGAGCCTTCTGAGAAGGCCCGCCCCCTTCTCGCACTTCCCCCCCTCGGGCTCGCCGTCGAGGGCTTGTCCCGGAGGAGCCACTCTCGGACGGTCGGAGCCTTCTGCAGCCATCCCAGACCCCCGACGTCATGATTTGTTTCACAGCGCCGACGCCCAGAGGTCTGGACCCCTCCCCCGACACCTGCGTGTTTCGTCCTCGAGTCGTTTTTGCACGGCCCCGAGGCCCGGGGAGGACCCCTTCCCCGGGACGGGTTTTTCATGCCGCGTCGTTGTGTGACGGTCCCGCGGCGCGGTGAGGGCCCCCGGAGGCCGAAAGCAGCGAGCAGCCTCCCGCGGCGATTTTTTCGCAGCGCGAGGGGGTCTGGGCTGCTCCCCCGACGAGGGAGGCTTGGCCCCCCCCCCCCCCCGGAGGGTTCCGTGCTCCCTCCGCGCACGCCCGTGGCGCGAGCGGCTCCCGGCCGGCCGGCCTCCCCGAGGATGCCCCCCTCAAGCAGAAGCAGAGCGTCCCGGCTCGCCCATCGATAGGCCCCACCAAAGAATGCTCTAAAGAACCTTTTGTGGTCTGCACGGGATGCTCTTAGGACGCTTCTGGCTGGGACTGCTCTGTTTTGACGCATCGGGCTCATATGTTCTAAGAACATTGCTCTTGTGCTTGGAACATTGTTGCTTCTAAGAACATTTCGTGGTAGGTCCATAGGAATGCCGGGACGGTCGATCCCTCGTCAACCCAGGAGGTCTTTATTTTTGATCCTCTCCCCCCCCCGCGTGCCAAAAAGAATGCAACAGCGCAGAAAATCACGCCCAGAGCCCCTGGAGTCCACCTTTCTGCGTCGTTTTCCGAGCAGGATCGATCCGTGAGGGTCCCGGGGCCCGGAAGAAAGGCGAAAACGCCCGGCTTGAAAGAGTTGAGACGCCAGGATCTCAGGGCCCGACTCCTCGGGCCGCCCTGAGCGGCGAAGCGGCGCCGTGCAGAGCCCAGGTGCGCAGCTGCTGCCGCTCAGAGCGAGGCGGCGCAGAGATCAACGGTGCGGTGCGGTTGCGGCACGCTGGGACGCGCGGCGCATTGCAGCGCGAACCAATCCCAGGCACGATCGCGTCGTTAGAGGATCAGGACGGCAGGTGTTTGTCAGTTTTCGGCTCCACGGGAGCCTTTGCCGGGCCTCGGGACCGACAAAAAAACGACTCAGAACGAAAAACCGGTCCCGGGGAAAGGGTCGGGATTTGCAGGGACACCGTATTGAACAAATCAGGGCGTCGCATGTTTGGGATGCAACGTAGCGCAACGCAGTTCAGAGAAGAGCGGAGCGAAGCGGATCGAAGCAGAGCGAAGCAGAGCGAGCCAGAGCAAAGCAGCACAAGGCAAAGCCAGGGGACTACAGTGCAGTGTGGCGCACGGGAGTGGCAGCCTGTAGCACAGGACCGTTTGTCTTATAGTTCCTGTATTGGCTTCCTGCATCGCTTCATGCAGCTGATCTCTGGCTTGAGTCCGGTCTTTCGCTGGGTAAATGCTGTATCCGCCGTTGGCCCGTCGGGCTGGCCGTTGATATCGAGCCAGGCAGCCCCGACTGCTACGAACCCCTCGGCGCGTCAGGGGGTTCGGTCTCGAGATCAAGGGGTGACCCTGCGTCCAGGTGGAGGCGACTGCCGGTCCACAGCTCTTCTGACACGTCCTCGGGCATGGAGGGCATTCTGCATCCAAACCCGCGCGGGTTGCCTGGTGCGGAACGATGCAAGGACCAACCTTCCAAGACCAAGCCCGCAAGGGCTGGCTGCTCACCCAGACAAGTCGACTGGGTAAGTCTGCATTGGTTCACTGGACATTCGCATTTGGGTGTGCTCGTGCAGCCCCCAGTCGGTTTCGCTACTCGTCGGGCGTCTCGCTGGATACATCCGTCGATGGGCTATACCCCGCCAGGGTGCCGTCGGGATGATCGTGCCGTGCCCACGTGGCGTGCCCCTGGCAGCTTTCACGAAAGGACGTCTTGCTGAATGGGGCCTCTGTCCACCCCCGATCTCCAGAGACCACGCTGAAGGTCCGGGCCTCATTCGATGATCATCTCCTCATCCGCCTCCTCCTCCGCCTCCTCCTCTTGCCTCCTCCATCCTCCCTCCTCCCTCCTCCCTCCTCCCTCCTCCCTCCTCCTCCCTCCTCCTCCTCCTTCCTCCTCCCTTCTCCCTCCTCCTCGCCGAGGGGTCGGTCTCTTTCTCCCGCCGCTCGCCCGTGCCTCTCGTGCGCATCCGCGGTTTCTCGGCCCGGCCCGGCGGCAAGGCCGCGCTCGACTTCTCGGGCCTCGGCGCCCGCTCGGCCGACATCTGGCAGGCAGGTGCGGTGGCCGGGGCCGCCCGGTGCGGGGGCAGGAACGGTGCTGGGGCGATTGGCGATGCGCTTCGGTGTGGTCTCCGAGCGGCAGACTTCCCCTGTCGCCAGTGGCCGCTCTTGCCTGTCGGGGAAGCCTGAGACTCGAGTTCGCCAGAATCCGGAGCTGCCGACGCCTCTTCACGGGCCCGTCCCAGATTTTGACGGCCTGCTTTTCGTGGGATGTCTGCAGCGGGAGCTCGCGTCAAATTTTAGGCTGGGTCTCGTTACTCTTCTGGCGGCCCCGTCAGGCGAACTCGAGTCCTCCGAACTCGAGTCTTGCGTCTCCCCGAACCTAGGCTGGCGGCGTGCACAAAGGAGCGACCCGAGGTGGGTGGCTTTCTCAGACGGCGGGGTGCTTCTAGGCAGGCGGGCCGCTGCCCAGAGGGCCCTGGAGGCTCCTAAGGAAGCGTTCGAGAAGCCGGGATGGCTTCTAAGACGCCCCTCTGCCCGCCAAGAAGCCCACCAGGCTTCTTAGAAGGCCACCCCCCTGGCGTCACCCGCTCAGCGCGCCCAGCCAACTAGGGCCACTCCTGCGGGTTGTCGAAGTTCCGGGCAACATCAGCGGGTGCAGGCACAGGGGGCAATGCGCATCGCCCCCCAGTCGCCCATTCGTTGTCGACAGGGGCCTGCTGGCCCAAGCCGCCCAGGAACGCTCGGTTCCGCTCTATTCGGGACCTGCCGCCGACCTGTCGGCGATGTACCGCCGATTCAGGCTCACTGCTTCCACCCCTCGGTCCCCTCCCATCGTTCCCCCTCGCGAAGGGGGTCCAGGGGTTTTTCAGGCGATCGCAAACGTGTATCAAGGGGGCGTGGATTTGCGACGGATCCCGTTTCCATGGGCAATCACGGGCTTCCGCCGCCGAACGGGGCGGCACGGGCTGCACTTCGGGGAGGGCACCTCCCCCGATCCATGGGCTAATTAGGCGACCGCGCGCCAGATGCGTGGATCGCC